TAGTACATACTGTTATTGATTGGACATAGCACATTAAGTCAAATCATTTCCAGTCAACATGCATATCCCTACCACTGAAGGCCGCCTAATTACCATGCTGTGTGAAGTCACCAACCTGCCCACAATCGGGTCCCTCTTCTCCCTCCGGGCCCATTGAGATTGAGGGTAGCTATGTTGAATCTGTATCTGGCATCTGGTTCTTACTTCAGGGTTATATCACTCTAACCGCTCATTCGTTCCTCTTAAATAAGACATCTCAATGGATTCATGACTCATCAGCCCATGCCTAACATAACTGTGCTGTCATGCCTTTGGTATCTTTCAATTTTCAGGGTGCGAGGTTCAACTGGGTCACCGACCTTCAAGCAGGGTGAATAACTTGCAGATAGACATTCATTGAATATTATTGGTTGTACATATTAACCTTTAGGTGTTATTCAGTCAATGGTTACAGGACATAAGAAATTTTACAACAGCATTTTGAGTCAAGCCTGTAGGAGTCAAAAGATCACAATCGCAGACTTCAACAAATACCAAAGTAATTAATTTAAATTTATAATTTTAGGTTTGATATATCAAACCTCCCCTTAACCCCCAAAACCCTTATGTACTAAACATCTTGTCAAACCCCAAAAGCAAGAATACATACACAAATGTGCTATAAGCACAAAGTATTACGTAAGCATGTAGACCTGTACAACTACCAATGCAGCTTTCTGCCTACCTGTAAAATACTTAGATGCTTGGACATATGTGGCTGGAAAGCCTCATGGTGGCTGTATCATGATTTCCATTAGCGACAAATAAAAACAATATACTATAAATACAAATATTAATCAATTCTTGTAAGTACCCATAGCACAAACTACTTGCCCCCTATGTATTATGAAATTAAGGTTAATGTAGCTTAAAATCAAAGCAAAAGCATTGAAAATGCTTGGATGAGCTTACAAACTCCATAAACATAGAGGTTTGGTCCCAGTCTTTTTATTAATTTTCAATAGAATTACACATGCAAGTATCCGCCTCCCAGTGAAAATGCCCTTCAAGTTATTACAAGACCAAAGGGAGCTGGTATCAAGCACGCCAATAAGGCAGCTAATGACACCTTGCTAAGCCACACGCCCATGGGAAACAGCAGTGATAAAAATTAGGCCATAAACGAAAGTTCGACTTAGCCATATTGTACTGGGTTGGTAAATTTTGTGCCAGCCACCGCGGTCATACGATTAACCCTAATTAATAAAAAATCAGCGTAAAATATGCTAAGATATGTTCAGCCCAAATAAAGTTAAGCCTTAACCAAACTGTAAAAAGCCACGGTTATCGTAAAAATAAATCACGAAGATAACTTTTATCAAAGTGACACACGATAGCTAAGGCGCAAACTGGGATTAGATACCCCACTATGCTTAGCCCTAGACTTAAATAATTCGTCAAACAAAATTATTCACCAGAGTACTACTAGCAATAGCCTAAAACTCAAAGGACTTGGCGGTGCTTTATACCCTTCTAGAGGAGCCTGTTATATAATCGATAAACCTCACCAATTCTTGCTAATACAGCCTATATACCGCCATCTTCAGCAAACCCTAAAAAGGAAATACACTAAACAAGACTATAAAAATATAAATATGTTAGGTCAAGGTGTAGCCTATGGATTGGAAAGAAATGGGCTACGTTTTCTAAAGTAGAACACAAATGAACACCCTCATGAAATTGAGGGTCAAAGGAGGATTTAGTAGTAAGCTGAGAATAGAAAGCTCAACTGAACTTGGCCCTAAAACACACACACACTGCCCGTCACCCTCTTCAAATCCTTAAGTACAACTAAACATATTAAATAAACATTAAAGCATGAGAAGAGACAAGTCGTAACAAGGTAAGCATACTGGAAAGTGTGCTTGGACAATCAAAGTGTAGTTTAAATAAAGCATCTGGTCTACACCCAGAAGATCTCAGTAATATGTTCACTTTGAACAAACGCTAGCCCAACCAACACTTAACATAAAACTAAACAAAAATACATAAACTAAAGCATTTACTAGATTAAAGTGTAGGTGATAGAAATTATATCATGGCGCCATAAAAGAAGTACTGTAAGGGAAAGATGAAAGATGCATTCAAAGTACAAAAAAGCAAAGATTACCCCTTGTACCTTTTGCATAATGGACTAACTAGAAACACCCTAGCAAAGAGAACTTAAGCTAGAAACCCCGAAACCAGACGAGCTACCTATGAGCAGTTTAAAGAACCCACTCATCTATGTGGCAAAATAGTGAGAAGACTTGTAGGTAGGGGTGAAAAGCCTAACAAGCCTGGTGATAGCTGGTTGTCCAAAAAATGAATTTTAAGTTCAACTTGAAATATACCTAAAAGTCTAAAAACTATAGTGTAACTTTCAAGTATAGTCTAAAAAGGTACAGCTTTTTAGAAACAGAATTAAATCTTAATTAGTGAGTAAACAATACAACAACCATAGTTGGCCTAAAAGCAGCCATCAATTAAGAAAGCGTCAAAGCTCAACAATAAGACATAAATAATACCACAAATAAAAATCAACTCCTAAACCAATATTGGACCAATCTATCAATAAATAGAAGAAATACTGTTAGTATGAGTAACAAGAAATAGATCTCCTTGCACAAGCTTATATCAGAACGGATGACCCACTGATAATTAACAACGAAACAAATCAAACCCAAAAATAGAACTTTGTTAAATAGATTGTTAACCCAACACAGGCGTGCATATTCTCAAAGGAAAGGTTAAAACAAATGAAAGGAACTCGGCAAACACAAGCCCCGCCTGTTTACCAAAAACATCACCTCTAGCATAACCAGTATTAGAGGCATTGCTTGCCCAGTGACTCACGTTAAACGGCCGCGGTATCCTGACCATGCAAAGGTAGCATAATCACTTGTTCTCTAAATAAGGACTAGTATGAACGGCTAGACGAGGGCTTTACTGTCTCATTTGTAACCAGTGAAATTGACCTTCCCATGAAGAGGCGGGGATACATTAATAAGACAAGAAGACTCTATGGAGCTTTAATTAACCAGCTTAAAGTTAACTCGATACCACTCTAAAAGAGATAAAAATTAATAACCTAAGCTGTCAATTTTGGTTGGGGTGACCTCGGAGCAAAAAACAACCTACGAGCGGTCAAATCCAGACTAACAAGTCCAGATAATCCGTTAATTGATCCAGTAACTTGATCAATGTAACAAGTTACCCTAGGGATAACAGCGCAATCCTATTCAAGGGTCCATATCGACAATAGGGTTTACGACTTTGATGTTGGATCAGGACATCCCAATGGTGCAACGGCTATTAATGGTTAGTTTGTTCAACGATTAAAGTTCTACGTGATCTGAGTTCAGACCGAAGCAATCCAGGTCGGTTTCTATCTATTCATACACTTCTCCCAGTACAAAAGGAGAAGAGAAGTAGGGCCTACCTCACACAGGCGCCCCTAGGACTTTTAGGATTCTTTTCTGTGAATATATTATGGTTGTTAGCTTTTGCTATTTCTCACTAGTATTTTCATTCAGTTTTCTTCTTCAACTTGGCTTCTGGATTTTTTGAGGATCCTTGAAGGCCTTTTCCACTTTGAAAATATTAAATATTCTCCTGCATTTTAATGTATTTTTTAAGTTTTAATTTTTAATGATTACATTTTTCCCAGACATTAGCTTACTCTTAAACCAGAATTACCCAGATGGTTGCCCAGTTGTCTTTAATGCCACTTGTTGAATAATCTTTTCTTCATTAACTTGAAGTTAATGAAATGATTGCCACCTTTATTTATACTAAATTCCCTCATGCATTTGGGTTTTTGGAGTCTCTATTCTGTTACATTATTTTTTTGTATATTGATGTGTTGGATATTAATTAATTATTACTACTAAGTGTATCCTAATATTCACAAGCACAAATCTACACACCATTACTTTTTTTTTTAAATTAAGGTATCATTGATATACTTTTATGAAGGTTTCACATGAGCAACATTGTGGTTTCTACATTCACCCATATTATCAAGATTTCTCCCCAACTCCCATTGCCGTCACTGTCCATCCATCAGAGTAGTAAGATGCTATAGAGTCACTACTTGTCTTCTCTGTACACACCATTACATTTTTTTTATTAAGGTATTGATGTACACCCTTACGAAGGCTTCACATGAAAAGTATTGTGATTATGGCATTCACCCATATTATCAAGTCTCCCCCATACCCCATTGAAATCACTGTCCATCAGTGTACACACCAGTACTTTTTAAGTTGATTTGTGTATGTGTGTGTGGTAACTGGTATGTGATGTTTTTCCCTATTATATATTACAGCTGATTGTTTATTTAAAGATTTTGAATTTTTAATATTTATTTTTTGCCTATTTACATTAGCCTGGTACTGCCAATTCCTGAGTCTTGGGGTCTTCTGTGGTTTAAGTAGAGCTGCTTCTCGGCTTTTCCCATTTCCAGCTTAGGGTTCAGGTTTTCTTGAGTCTAGATTATTTGTCCTTCCTTGTAGCTTCCATACTTCAATTTTCTTTTGTTCTTTATTCTTTGGGCTTATGGTTTTGTTTTGTTTTTTAACTACTACTCTTTTTTTTAGTAGGTTTTACATAATAGGCAGTTTAAATCTGCCTTTTTAACCATGTCAGTGTTTTTCTGTGTATGTAGTTACTTATGTGCATTGTTTCTCCTCAGAATAGAATTTTATTTTACCAGTTTAACCAGTTAATATGTGTGTATTATGAATTGGTTTTCTATTTTAAAATAAACAAAAATGGATGCATCCTATTTTGTTGGATGCATGTACTATATTTTATTTCAGATTAGAAATACTAAAATTAAATGGTGTATATAAATAATTTCTGAAGACTGATGATAGGACAGGGTAAAGTTATGGAATATTATATTTGGTAAGAGGTGAATGAATGATTATATTTTTCTGTTGTACCTTTTAAACATTTAAAAATACTTTGTCTTTTAGGTGCTGTGTAATATGTTAAGAGGATATTATAAGGAATGATTTTGTCAAATTTTCCTGAGTTATGGTGGCTGAAAGATCAGTTTTGTCTTGTTGGAAAAGAACTGTAAGTAACCTCAAAGAAAAACTGATATTCATTGTCTATTTATATAAGACAGGCTATTAATTATTTAAAGAATGTACTTGGGATACTTTATTCTGTTAGCTTTAAGTATACAAGCTAAATAATTTGAAAGGAGAAGTTAAATTTTATAGAATTCAAGATTATTTCTGTGTAACAATTAGCATTGCTATATTGGATTGTACAAAATTTAATTTTTATTTTTTTTAATTTTTCAGAAATGGCAGCACAAAAGGAAATCTATGTTAATAGAGTATTTTATTAAACGAAAGAGGTTAGGTAAGAACTTTACACCAACACACTCAGCAAAGAAGGAAAGAAACGTGTTAGCTATAAGACATGTTTCACATGAATCAAAGTCGAGTAACTGTAGCTGTAGATTTCAGAAGAAAAAGGTTTTCAAAAACTTTGTCATATCGAGTCAGTGATCAATAATTTTTCCAGTGATAGCACTAGGCCTGAAAACCAATATTAACTGAAAAATTAACAAAAGAAATTGAACCTGAATTAAGTTTTTTTCACAAAAAGTTCTAAAAATACCAAATTAGAATTAAATTTTCCTCAAATTTTTTATTGCCTTGTTCAGAGTAAAGCAAATATCTTTCAGCCTTCATGCCAGCTTTTCTCATGTCCAAGGAATGACAGAAACTTTACTTGAAGCAAACTAGTATTTTTGTTGAAAATGTACATCAGCATCAAAATCAATTTTTAAGACCTCCTCAGTTAATAATACTAGACATTCAGCATTCGCATCTACCAGGACAAATAATTGTCTCAAAAACTACTCAGAAAAGGAGGACCCTACTCAGGAATGATGTCCATTCAGGAGAACTCAAAAGAAAATTCCTCCAGTGTTACTAAAAAAAGTGAAGATAAGAATCTAGAAACACAAATTGAAGGTTCTCAAAAGAATCTAGCAAAAAAATCGGGTCCAAAGGAATCTATAAAGTCACTGGTTAAGTCTTCCAGTGAAAGTAAAATAAATCAGCCTGAATTAGGAACATGCATGAGTACAAGGTCAGCAAAGGCAGCATCCAATGATAAAAAAGCTAGTAAATCCATTACTAAAAGTATGGTGACTGTGAAAGAACATTCACAACAGGAATCTACAAAAAAGAAGAAGTCATCTCAGAAAAAATCAGTGCATGAAACTCCTAAATCAGATGAACAGCTTAATCGGAGATCACAAAGACTACAACAGCTAACAGAGGTTTCAACAAGGTCTCTACGTAGTAGAGAAATTCAGGGTCAAATTCAAGCAGTTAAACAGAGTTTGCCACTACCAAGAAAAGAACACTGTAGCAATACTCAAAGTAAATCTAATAGAGTTAAAACAAGTCAAAAACATGTGAAAAGAAAAGTATTGGAAATAAAGTCTGACTCTAAAGAGGTCGAAAATCCAGTAATTCATGAAGTAATAAATTCTCCCAAAGGGAAAAAACGGAAAGTAGAGCATCAGACAGTACATACCTATAGTTCTCAGTGTACAAAAGGATCTGGAAAGTGTCTTGAGAAGAATACTAGAAAAGAGGAAACAAAATCTGTGCCTGTAACTTCTGAGATAAAAAGATCAAAAATGGCTACTTCAGTTGTCTCTAAGAAGAATGAGATGAAGAAGTCAGTTCTTACACAAATGAATACTAGTGCAAAATCCCAAAAAAGTCCACAGCCATCAGTGCCTGAACTAACTGTAGATAATGAGCTGGAGCAAGCAGGAAAGAGCAAACGAGGTAGCATTCTCCAGCTTTGTGAAGAAATTGCTGGTGAAATTGAGTCAGATACTGTAGAAGTAAAAAAAGAATCTTTAGAAGTGGAAAGTGGAAAGGAAGAGAAGCCTACAGAAATAAAATTGGAAGAGACTGACCTTGAGAGACAAATACTTCATCAGAAGGAAACAAATAAGGATGTTCAGTGTAATCGTTTCTTCCCCAGTAGAAAAACAAAGCCTGTGAAATGTATACTAAATGGAATAAATAGGTCAACTAAAAAGAATTCCAACTGGACTAAAATTAAGCTCTCAAAATTTGACTCTGTGCAGCAAAATAAGTTGGATTCTCAAGTTGCCCCTAAGTTGGACTTAATACGAACCAGATTTTCACTACCAGCATTAGAAATGCATCATACAGTGACTCAAAGTACATTTATAGAGACAAAACCACATCGTGATAAAAATACAGCTTGTCAGCAGGACGAAGTGAGAGAAATAAATTTTGAAGAAGTTAAAATTAATGATATTGAAGTTGAAATTAATAAAACCATAGAAAAGGCTCCTGAAAATTGTCATTTGGATAATCAGATAAAACCACCTCCTGATCCACCATTGGATAACCACATGAAAGATTCTTTTGAATCAACACCAGATAAGGTAATATATTTTCATTATGCATAGTAGAGGTGTCTAAATACTAAGAAATAAGTGTTTACAATATATTCAAGCTTAAGAGTTAAGTCATAAAAGACTGAAGAGTCATTTGTTAAGGTATTCTATTCAGTTGTTAACAGTGTTACAGTACCTCAATCTTGTAGTGAGTGATAAAACCTTTTTAGATTTCTCACATATATATGAATGTTTTCATAATTTCCTCATTTTCACTCCTCATTTTTATTATGTGTAAAATGTAAGCTTGTTGAATTCTAACTTTTCTTTTTATTTAACAAAATGATCTGTGTCCTTTTTTCTATTATAACTACAGGAACAATGTTTCATAGTGATAAAAACGTAGAACTTAAAGTTGTGCCCAGTTTGGACCAAATTGTTAAAATTAATTTCAGCTGGCAAAAATCAACTTTTTTCTACCTGATAAAATTTTAGAAGTAACATTTCTAGTAGTAGGGATGCCTTTTGGTTTGACTTGTACTACCATTTTGAACATTTGGCAAATAAAATGTCTGAAAGATATAAATAATTCAGTCTCTAAGACTACAGTTGTAGTGGGCAAGAGTTTTAAAATGGAAAAGTAAATTGAAAAACAGAATCTAATAGGAGAAAGAAACTTTAGTGATTATCTGAGGGAGTAGCTTTTAAACTTTATAAAAGCAGCTGATTGCATTTCTTTCCAAATTAAATCCAAATTAAATAGGTAAAAAAACCAAGATATAAAACCAATAAGCAGAAATTTTATATGCACAGAATCGTGGATCTCTATAATACAGATTTGAAAAACTTACTAATTTGTTTCAAGTATTTAATTTTATAAGGAGAAAACTGAAATAAAGGAATATGATTTGGTTTCACATGTTTGGTGGCAGTATTAGAATCCAGGTGTTCTGATGTCAGCCAAGCATTCTTTCTACAGTGACATATTCTGAACACTAGAAGATCCTTTGAGGAAAAAAAATCTCTTGAGTAGAGAAAAAAGTCATCCTAAAGTTTTGGGAGTGATTTAAAATTCTATCTAGAGGCATTTTGGTCTAGGAGCAAATTTGAATGAGTGAGGAGCCTAGGGTTTATGCCAGAAGCCATTAAAATAGATCATTGTCTATTCTAGTGAATTACATGTCACAGTGAACTTAAAGGGAACAGACACCATATGGTATCCTTAGATTTTATTTTCTGTGTCCTTGCATGAGAGCATCAGTTAAAACAAAGTAATAGTATATTCAAATAGTAATGGCAATTAGAAATAGTGATTAGTAAGAGTAATAAGTGCAACTTTACAGAAATTGGGGGGACTTTCTATTGAGGGTGTACTTTATCAGTAAATTGATAGCTATACGCCAGGTATAGCTGGAGAGTGTATCTTCTAACTCTTTGCTCCATAAATGTTTTTCAAAACTCAAAAGGCTGTGGAGAATATATTAAACAAGAAGTGTAATCCATTTCTTTGGACTAAACTGTATTGGTCTAGAGATACATAGACTATATTTTTTCAACCTTTATTAATAATTGCTTTTACTGAAATGGGCTCTGGATTTATACTATTCCTCTGTCTTGAGGAACGTTATCAGAAACAGCCCTATGAAACTTATGCTAAATATTTTTACCTTTGAAAATTCTTAAGTTTCAAATATTCAGAGTACTACCAAGACTAATATTATACTTGTGTCTACTACCCAAATTTGACAAAAATTAACATCTTATTGAATTTTGGGTCTTTACAGATTATAAAGACCCAAAGACCATTGCAGATATAAAGACCGTACCTCCCTCTTTTTTCCATTCACCTCTTTCCCCAGAGTTAAACATGTTCCTGAAGTTGGTGTGGATCTTTTCTGTTGTTGTTTTGTGATTTCACAGCATATGTATATATTATATTTATCAGTAAAGAATAGTTAACAGTGTTTTAAATGTTTATATAAAGGCTGACATGAATTGTATGTGTGTGTGTATACATACATAATTTTTTTTGCAACTTGTGTGATAAACACTTGATACTTATTGATATGTGAGTATTTTAATAGCTGTAAAGGAATATACCACAATTTCTTTATGTTTTCTTCTGTTAAAACACTTAGGTTGTTTCCAACTTTTTCACTAGAACAATATGGTCACTATCACAAGTGTCAGGAAATGTGGTCATGTCATTTTCAGAAACTGAGTGCCTGCTGTGTCCAAGACCCTGTGCTAGGGCTACAGAAGATAGGTTTCCTGCCTTTAAGGAATTTACATTGTAGTAGTCACTTAGAGATTTCTCTTCATCCTGTAAACACTGAGAGGTAGCTTAGTTCAACCATCATAATAGCTTTTGGTCAATGAACACTGCCTCTTTGTTAAGCAGAGGAGAGCTTCATATAATTGTCACTGCAGTCTACTCTGTGAGTTCTGTTACTATCCACATATTAAAGGTGAGGACAGTGAGACTTAGAGAAAAGTAACTTAGTTTGAATCACATTTTAAGTGAGTCAAGATTTAAGCTAAGATTGGCTGGCCTCAGAGCCTTGCTGGATTGATACTTGGGGGAGGCAGGAAAATGTTAAAACAAACCTTACATCATTTGAAAGCTTGTTCTGTGGCTGCCTGTAATTTTACTCTTTTAATTATATGGTGTCAGTCTCAGCAATACTGAGAAATAATGATTGATAAGGCTAGGTATCTGGTAGACTTCTGTGAATTCTTTGGGCTGAATTTAAATTATTCAGAATTCATGAATTTTAAAGCTCATTTTATGATTTGTTTTTTATACCAGTAAATTACTAGCTTCTTATTAGTGGAGATTAATTAGTAACATGTTTTTAATTTTTCTCCTTTTTCAATAACAAGAAATACTTGTTTTCTCAAAAATATAATGTTCAAAAATAATGTTAAATGTTCATTGTAACAATCAACACACACACACACACACACACAGAATGTTAATTGTTTCCTTCCTCATTTCCGTCTCTCTTAGATAGCCATTGTAGTATTTTCTTTTGATGGTTACTGAGTATCTGTTTGACCAGATTCTCATTTAGGCTCTTGGGAATACATAGATAAACATAATATGGTCTTTGCTCTTATGAGTTATAGGAGATGAATCAAAAACAGGTAACTCTTTCAAAATAAGAAGTGGTAAGGGCATGAAAGAGATAGAAATGAAGTAGATGGAAAATTATTCCAAATTTGGGGAAAAGGATGGGGGAGTTTGGGGCACGCTTCATGGAATAGGTTAATATTTAAGTGATAGAGTTGAGTTTATACAAGGGAAAGGTGTTCTAGATCAGCATTATCCAGTAGAAATATAATGTGAACCAAATACACCATTTAAATTTTTCTGGTAGCCACATTAAAAATTAAAAAGCTGGTACAATTAATGTATTTTATTTAACCTATCATATAGAAATACTGTCATTTTAACAAAATTTCAACAATTTTAGAAATTGAAATATCTTACTTTTTTTAGTACTCTTAAAAATCTGGTGATTTACATTTACAATATATTTCAAATCACTCACACTAACCACATTTTAAGTGCTCAATAGTTAGATATGGCAATGGCTATTGCATTGGACAGGCAGGTTTAGATAGATGAAACTCAGGAAAAGCATAGAGCCAGGCAAATGCGGAGTGTATCTGTGGAAGAGGTAAGTTTTACGTAAATCTAGTATTATGGGGAAAGTGGGAGCTGATGCTGAGAGGGTAGCATGTGGGGGAGATCATGAAGAGACTTTTAAAGCAGATCCCTGTGAATTACTCCAAATATACAGTATTATCTTATATTTCCTAGTATGCTAAAATGCACTGAAAGTGTATTAGGATAGGATCCAGAGGTTGATAGAAAATCAGATATTTACATTTTGAATTATATGTGTTCAGAATTTCAGCAGATGTTTGGAATACAAGCTTGAAAACAATCCAGTGGAAAATACCACTGCTGTATCAACTCTGCTCAGTCAAGCAAAAATTGATACTGGGGAGAGTAAATTTCCAGGTAATACTTTGAAAATGTTAATTTGGATTTCAGTGTTTAGAGATATTTTTGTCAATATGACAGGAAACTATATTGACTACCAGATAGACCTGCTGAATTTTTCATAACACCATTGCTTATGTTTTTCAAATGTATGATTATCACCATTTTTTTGGGAGATACTTTTTCTATTGACTGGCTTGTTTAAAATACTCAAATGTGATTCTCTGACTCCCTACTAAAAGTTCTTTTATTTTAAATTTTTGTTTGTGACTTACTCTGGAGAAGTGTTACTTATAAGAATTGCTTAAGTTAGTGGTAGCAGTTTATTTCTCTAGTATAAATGACTGTGTTTTCCCACTTGAGGGTCTTATCTTTAACCCTTAGTTACTCAATTTCCCATATTAGTTACTCTGTTTTTGAATTAAGGATTTGAATTAAGGATTTAATAGATGCTGCAATTTGTCCACGTCTTCCATAGAAAATTTTATTTTTGTACTTAGTAAAAATGTTTTGACAATATATTATTTGAACTGTTCTATGGAGATTTGCTCACCTGCATCAGAAGCACCCAGGGGCATCGAAAAAAAAATGCCTAATTCCTTATTTCTCTCTGCTGAGGGAAAGGTATATACTTGGAGCAAAATATACTAAGAACAGATAATTTCTTCCTTCATGTATCATTTAACCTTTTGTCTTAGTGAGAGAAGGGAAAGTATAATATGAATATGAGAAGTGCATTTATTCATTAGAAAATAGAATGATTATTGCACTATTTATTGTGATTACAACTACAGAGACCACAGTTTTTTTGTTTAATTAAGGTATCATTGATATACAATCTTTAAAAGGTTTCACATGAGCAACATTGTGGTTACTACATTCACCCATATTGTCAAGTCCTGCTCCACACCCCACTGCAGTCACTGTCCATCAGTGTAGTAAGAGGCTATAGAGTCACTACTTGTCTTCTCTGTGCTATACTGTTTTCCCCATGACCCCCCTACATTATGTGTGCTAATCTTAATACCCCTTAATCCCCTTCTCCCTCCCCACCCTCTTTCCTTTTAGTAATTGCTAGTCCCTTCTTGGAGTCTGTGAGTCTGCTACTGTTCTGTTCCTTCAGTTTTGCTTTGTTGTTATACTCCACAAATGAGGGAAATCATTTGGTACTTGTCTTTCTCTGCCTGGCTTATTTCACTGAGCATAATACCCTCTAGCTCCATCCATGTTGCTGCAAGTGGTAGGATTTGTTTTCCTCTTGTGGCTGAATAATATTCCATTGCGTGTATATACCACATCTTTATCCGTTCATGTATTGATGGACACTTAGGTTGCTTCCATATCTTGGCTATTGTAAATAGTGCTCTGATAAACAGGGGTGCTTATTTTTTTTTTTTTAACATTGTAAAATGTTTAATTAGTAATTTATTAAGTTTACCTGTCAGTTGATACTTTCTGTATGAAGCCTTTGAAATGTTTTGAGAGTTTATTTACAGTCACTGAAAGCTGTTGGTTGCATAAACCTTACAGGTAAATTACAGGCTCCTTAAACTCACAACATACAAGTATTTCAACATTTAAATAGAGACCTATTTCTTTAAAAGTAATTTCCTACTTTCTAAAAAAAATATAAAAAAAGACATTTGGTTTTAAAAACCTGTATTTAACCCAATCAAGATTTTTCTACCTTTCCAAAAAGTTTAAAAGACATCACAGAATAATGTGATATCAATCCAAATAATTTCACCACAGCAAAGTATTTTACTTATAAGAAATATTGTACAGCATTTCTTTTTAACGTTTCATTCTAGATTTCAATTGTATATACACTATATAAACACACCAGATTAACCCATCATTCATATTTATGCAGTAGACTGTCACATATGATCAGTTACCATATAAGCTGTCATACTGCAATTGAAAAAATGGGAAAATGAAATCTTTATGAAAGCTTAAAAAAATCTCAATAAAAGACAACTAACATCACCCAAATTTCTGTAAAAATTACTTCTACCTTCTTGTTGAATGGTATCTTTTATAGCATACAGATATTTATATTACTTAATTTAGCCTTTTAACTGACTGTTATCTTTTTTGACACTGAACTTACCAAAAGTCACCAAGATTAGACTCCTAAGTAGTTTCAGAAGTTTGTTCTTTTTTGGGTTCCTCTAGAATGATTTTCCTCAGAAAGGGTAACTCTAAGAACCAATGTGCTTATGTCTTTTTGAATCAAGGATCTTGTTTTCTTCAGGTAAATTCCTAGGAGTGGAATTCCTGGGTCAAATGGTGTTTCTGCTTTTAGTTTTTTGAGGAACCTCCAGACTGCTTTCTGCAGTGGTTGAACTAATTTACATTCCCACCAGCAGTGTAGGAGGGTTCCCCTTTCTCCACATCCTTGCCAGCATTTGTTGTTTCTTGTCATCCAAAAGACAAGATACCTAACTGGTGTGAGGTGATATCTCATTGTGCTTTTAATTTGCATTTCCGTGATGATTAGCCATGTGAATCATCTTTTCATGTGCCTGTTGGTCGTGGGAATTTCTTCTTTGGAGAAGTTCTTTTCAAATGCTCAGCCCATTTTTTAGTTTTTTGAGGACACAGTTTTTTTAAAGAAATGCTTTCATTTATTTCCATTTAGAGATTATAGTTATACAGGCATTTAAACAATTTCCTTTATTTTTCAGTGCTAGTAATTACTGGTGAAACTAGAGGTAAATTGTTTATCTACCATTAGATCTCTTTGTAGTTCATAGAGCTTTTCTGCCTCTTTGAAGAGTAATTTCTAGGAAGGCGGCTTTAATTTTATCAAATAGTCTTTATTAAAAACATTTAGTGTGTTGAGTTTTTGGGTTTTTTTTTTTTTTGGTGTAATGATTTTCAACTATTAAATAGAAAGCTAACACAAAGCTTAATACATAACACATTATCTTGATTAAATTACAGGTTCAGCTTCCAAACAGCACAGTGTACTCAATAACCAGACATCCAAGACCAGTGATAACAGGTAAGATATTAGTTTAATATACAGATAAATTTTAGAACTGCGAAAAGATAAACTAAGGCATATTAAAGTTTTTTAAAGTTTGGCTGAGCAAAAATCAATTTGAATTGGATAGCATCCAGTCTAGCAAACAGAAAGGAACTCTGAGGGGTATACAAAATGAAAGCCTTTATTTATAGGCATTAGGGAGTGGTAACAAGGAAGGCAAAAAAGTGGGTTGGTTATTGCAAAGTTATGTTACTTTAGGGGACAGCAGGGTTTTATTAGGCAGATTACCTGATAGAGTAATTCAGGTGATTATTGATTGGTTTAAGATTACATTTCTGGAAGAGTTGAAATTGTACTTAAGTCTAGGTTTGGTGATATGGGGATTACCTAAGGATTTTATACATTCAGCTTTAGTTTGGGGGATTTTTCCTTAAAAATACTGACCCTTAATTTTTCAAGTAGGAGGATGGTGATATCAGTAGTTCTCTTTTCATTATACTTTTTTCAGTGCCTATACATACTGCTTCTATACCTTTTTTTTTTTCTTTCTATAATATAGGCATCTTTTCTTTCTCATTCTTTTAAATTCTGCATTAGATTTCATTGTTTATCTAACAGCTGTCTACTTTATAGACCTTTCAATTGTTTTTAGTTTATTCCTATCAAAAAATGTCCTCCAGTCAGCATATATCTTTGCCCACTTATGTGATTATAGGATAAATTCAGTTACAGGACTTGTATTGCCAAATTTCACACAGTGTTGTGTCTTTTTATTTTCCCAGCAACAGTAAGTGTGCATCTTTTTGCAAACGCCTCAAAATAGTGGGTGTTATCAACATATAAAAAGTATTTTAAGTAGAGTAAAAGATTTCGTTGCCTTTAATGTCAGAATTAAACTAAATCTTACTTATTTTGCTTTGCCGATTCCCAAAAATAGTTTTTAGGGCAAACTGTAGTGACTCCAGTGCTAAAGCTGTAAGCTTAAAATTTACTCAAACTATAGTAGGTGCTATGCTTTTTGTTTATTTGTTGAAAATTAGTAATTTTCTTGGGTTTCCCCCCTTGATTTTCAAAAGGTTGTATTTTTCCCCTTGGAGTTGAAATTTGTCAGTGTGGTACAGAAGATAAATTTTATTTTTCCTTCCAGTAATTTAATTGATTATGGATCTGTAACATTTAATAGTTTTGTTTTGTTTAAGGGAGACGCCACCAAATCATTTTTGGCCTAAGTGTAATTCCCATTTGGAGATAACAATTCCAAAGGACTTAAAACTCAAAGAAGCAGAAAAAGCTGATGAAAAACAGTTGATCATAGTAAGTATACATCTTGACCTTTTTAGTGAAGTGTCGTTGTGTCTTATTCATGCATATTGTTAAAGAATAAATTCCTTTTCTCTCCAAAGAGGCTTTTTTCTTGTGGTCACATAAGTCTTCATTATGGAAATATTCCTGGTATCATTATTAACCCCTCTTTTCTCCCCAATGATGAATACATCCTGTAACAAAAATTCAAGCTTCCATCCTTTTAGTTTTATTTGCAACAGATTGACACTTCATTTCATATTTGTTACTTTCTTAAATCTACATTCTTTTAGTACTTGGTTTAAATATTAAAATCACAAGGAATTTAATATGTAAAATGATTTTAGGTATCTGTATCTTAGTATATGTTATTATTTTAAAACTATATTTTATGAAAGATAACTGGTAACTAATTTGAGGTAGAACATACATACAGTTTGCTGGAAGGGTGTAAAAGAGAGGGAGATATTTCATTGATTAAAAATCTAATTTGAGTGAATGCCCACAGTGTAATAAAATGAAGGGACCCAAAATAACAGAGACATTTAATGTAGATCCAAGCAGTAGGATTTTGGGGGGGGACTGGATGATTGATTCTGACTTTATTATGAGAGAATTTAGAATCTAGAAAAGATGTGCAATAATTGTCTAGAAATTTCTGAGAAAGATTACTAAGGTAAAAAGTTGTTTCATCAAATTTAATATTTCTGTTGTCACATCAGTATGATAGTGAAATAGGATTAGAAAAGTAGAATCTAGAGCTGCATTGTCCAATATGATAGTCACATGTGTCTGTTGAGCACTTGAAATGTGGCTCATCAGAATTGAGATAGGTTGAAGTGTCAATATATGTACCACATTTGAAACACTAGTACAAAAAAAGTATCTCAGGTTTTTTATGTTTAACAAATGTTGAAATTATAATATTTGGGATATGTTCTATTAAAAATTATTAAGATTAATTTCACCTGTTTGCTTTTGCATTCTTTAATGTGGCTACTAGAAAGTTTAAAATTACATGTGGATCACATTTCTATTGGTCAGGAGTTGATGATGGTGATCATGTTAATGACTATGTTTTGAATGCACTGTTCCATGTGCTCAATTCATATCAATGAAGTTAAGCCTTATAAAAAAAAGTACAAGATGGGTACTACTATTATTTCCCACTTAACCAATGAGGAAACTGAGGCAGAAATGTTTACTCATTACTATGAGAACTGCCAGAGATTTTATACACCGATGTTCATTATTTACAATAGCCAAAGGGTGGAAGCAACCCAAGTGTTCATCAATGAATGAATGGATAAACAAAATGTGATGTGCACATGCAGTGGAATGTTACTCAGCCTTAAAAAGGAAGAAGATTATGACACATGATGCAACATAGTGACCCTTGAGGACATTAAGCTAAGTGAAATTAGCCAGTCACAAAAAGACAAATACTGTATGATTCCACTTCTAGGGGGTACCTAGAACAGTGACATTCATAGAGACAGAGAGTAGAATGGTGGTTTCCAGGAGCTGGGAAGGAAGGGGTATTGGGAAGCTGTTGTTTAATGGGTATAGAGTTTTTAGTTTGGCAAAATCAAGAGTTCCAGAGATGGGCTGCACAGCAGTGGGACTGAATTTAACACCACTCAGCTGCACACTTAAAATAGTTGATGGTAAATATTACATCTTAACCAGTTACACATTATTTTTGTAAAAACTGCCTGAATAAATTTTAGGTAACATTTCATTCTTTTTACCATTTGATTTCTCTTTGCTTTTGACCCTAGTTATAAAGTACTAGAAATATTGTTATCTTAGATCTTTTTTTTTCATTAATTAGTTCATACTACACAGTTCTAGAGCAGAAAGAGTTAAAGGAATTATGCTTTTTTATTTTATTATTCTTAAAAGTAGATCATAATTGCTGAAGTTTTCTTGTTGAGTAAGGACAGGAATAGAAAATGTTTTGTGAACAGTTACTATTCTATAGTATAAGTATGATTACCAGAGAATAGATGATTGTAGTCAGTCTTTTGTGCTTATTTAATATAAAGATAATAGAAAAAATTTAATTTACCTTTTCTCAAAGTTTGTGGTGACATCAAAATATTCTTTTTAATATCTACAACTAATGAAACCATTAAAGAGAACAGATTTTTAAGATATTGAGGAGTCTATAAAACATTTATTTCCTCTAAACTTTAGCAATATAATTATTGCAGATGTTAAAAATACATTAGTTATCATTTACAGATAATTTTCTATGTGGGATTTAGGACCAAGATTGTAATGTTAAAGATATTTCTCAGTTAAAGCACACAGTGAATCTGTGGCATCTTGCTGCACTGATGGACAGTGACTGCATTGGGGTATGGGTGGGGACTTGATAATATGGGTAAATGTAGTAACCACATTGTTTTTTCATGTGAAACCTTCATAAGAGTGTATATCAATCATACATTAATAAAAAATATTAAAAAAAGATATTTCTCAGTTGCTTTCAATTGTTATTAAGTGCTATGGAGCGTGTGATCAGATCACTAAAATGGAAATAATTCTTAATAAGATTGCACACATCAACATTGAATGTTATTTATTATAAATGCTTTTCACTTTTTGTCCACATTATAGCTTTAGAGGCTGACGTTCTGGAATTACTCTTTTGGGAGGTAAAACTTTTGTTTGTTTTTTATAAATAGGATGCAGGACAAAAAAGATTTGGAGCAGTTTCCTGTAATGTTTGTGGCATGCTTTACACAGCCTCAAATCCAGAAGATGAGACACAACATCTGCTCTTCCACAACCAGTTTATAAGTGCTGTAAAATACGTGGTAAGTGGCATTCATGACTTCTAAAACACAGGTAATTAGATCAGGATCTTGAAGAGATGAATTGCCAAATTTAAGTCACTGAAGAATTTCTGTTCTTAGGAAACAATAACATATACAAAGCCCTTATTTTAAAACAAAGCCAAACATAAAAACCAGCTAATTTATTCTAGCTGGTTTATGTTGTGGGATTTTTTTAATGTAACTTGTATTTTTAAAGTAGTTATTGTACCTCTTCTAATAAGTAATGCTATTCAATTGAGTACTTTTAAAACTTCCTTTCATTTAATAATTATTAGCTATTGATAGGCCTGTTTATATATATACCTTGGCACAACTTTTTATTTGAGAATTAATAGTGATATATATTATACCAAATAGATTGTTTTGGGATTTCCTTTACCTTCTCTCTGCTATCATGAGTTTTTCTTTATAAAACTAAAAATGAAAAATTCTTAAAGGTTAAGACCTAAATTTGCAATATACTTAAAAAAAAATCCCACAAAGTAAATATGTTTTAGTATATACTTTTTAATGCATGTGCATTTGAGACATAATGGGTTTAGTTTAATATTTTTTTCTGGAAATAGAATTTTAAATAACTTGAACCATTTCAGATATCTTGTGAAAATAGTAATTTAATATACTTGCTGTTTACCCATATCTGAAATGGAATCTATTTTTATCCTATGCATGTTACCTTCAGTACTCTACACTCACATTTAATAAGACCTCCAGGATATCTGAACTGAGATGACCAATTCATTTCATTCATGCTTTTATACAGGCATCAGATGTTGGATTACTTAAAGATCTTTACTGGAATTAGTTAAATTCCTATTCTTACCTTTCGTTGAAGGGTTCATATTCATTGTTTGATTTTTCCAGTTAATTCTACCCAAAGTAGGTCAGGTTTTCATTTTTTGGTTCCCTAATATGGTGATCTTTATATTTCTTATTTCATCTGCATTTTCCACATACACTTCCTCCTACCACTTAACTAAATAAAATATAAGGTGTGTGAATATAGAATATCTATAGCTAGATAATTGATTTATCATTTGAAATTTGTAGTTTTGCAATATGACTATATTAATATCCTTAGAACTTGAAAAGAAAAACAGTTCTGTAATGTAGTTAAATTCATAGGATATTTCTGAGGCAAAAATATTTCACATTATTTTACATACATGAATCTGGTACAAGTTAAATTTAAATAAGTTCTCAATTTACATTTTTTGATTTTTCAAATCAAAACTTTAGAAAGTGTTCACTTTCTAAAATTATAAAAAGATTAAGTTTAAAAGTCTTAGTTCTTCATCATAAGGGAAGTTCTTCATTTCTGAGAGGAACAGTGAAGAAATCAGTTAGGAAATATGTACTCTACTTTTCCACAGTACCAAGAGAAATTTGTATATGGAGCAATGTGGAGTCATCACCATTTAAACAGATTCTGGCTCTTGCAAAACTGTAAAGCATAGCAACTTAGGGGAAGATTGATTCCTGCCCCATAACCCTTCCTTCCTGCCCTCTCCACCCTGCCATACCACACTTGATGGGACAGAGCTATGGGTTATTTTATTTATTTTTAAAATAAGCTCAAGAAGAAGGAATTGAGTTTAGCAGTTAGCCATCCTTTGCTAACATCAGGTCAGTATTCTTTTGCTGTTTTCAAATGTAGGTATACATAGAATCTAAGGTAGAAACTTCTCCAAAGCATTGTAGCATTCTTTTTTAGTCTGTGGAGGGAGGATAAAAAACATCTTATAGTGAAGATGTTTGGCTGTGATTGAAGCTCTGGATTTTGGGTGTTGACATTAAACATTTATTGGGCATCCAGTACTGTGTTTTGCATTTAGCACTTTTTTTAAAAATTGAGGTACAATTGAGTATTAAGCACTGAAGTGTTTTGACAAAACATCTGATTTTTTTTAAGGCCAGTTTTATCTTTTGTGTGTGTTTCCTGGAGAGAAGCTGTCCATTTAAAATGAATTATAGCCAAGGCACCAAATGAAGTCATATGCTGTAATTTGTTTTAAATGGACAGTGTTCATGGACTGACAATAAAATTTTGTTCTAATTAAAAGTGTTTAAAAATAGAATAAATAACAATGAAAAACTGAAAAACAACTTTTTCAGTTTTAATCAAACATTCTTAAAGAATAAGTTAGGTAGCTTTTCGTAGGGTAGAAAATCTCCCTTAGACATGGTAATAATCTATGACAGTTAAAAATGACTAAAGACCTGTTTTCAAAAGATTAAAATAATACTTAAATTAGTCATAGTAGAAATTGATGCCCACAGAACCTGTTTTTGACTTACTAAAATATTTTCCTTGTCTTTGGTTTGGGGTCGGGGAAAGAGTGATGTTACCTCTGTTTCTCTGGTCCTTCATTGTGCCCCTTCTGCCTCATTGATACCATTTGAGGAAATGCATTTTATCTTACTAGAAACTATTTAAGAAGGAGTCTCTTGCTGCTTCATGGGGAGCCTGGAGTCAGCTTTAGACCTAGGAACACTTAAGTTTCCCTTCATGAATTAAGGTACTGCTTCTTGGAGGTGTGAATGGAAAGTAGGGAAAGTTCCCCCGTTGAACATTGAGCCATGTTGTGAGGCCGAGAACCTATCCAGAACTCAGCTGTACTTTGAGCTTTTAGTAATGTAGAAGAGGAATAATGTTTAGGTCCTTTGCAGAGAAACTCCTAACTTAATCCTTATTTCTTCTGTCCTTCCTTATTTCCTTTGAATTCATTAACATCTGACTGAGTGCTCTGTGGAGGGCCCTATTCACAAGGCATATGAGCAAAGCCTGAAAGAAGTAAAAATTTAACAATGAAAGATTTAAGTACACTATTAAGGCAATAAATCAATATTAACTATTAACTACTTATTGACTGTAGTTTAGAAGTGCTAAATCAGTAGAAGAATCAGAAAAAGGGTACATGGGTGAGAAAGAGTTAAGATTTAAATGGATATAAGGAGGTCATCTTTGATAGTATAACTAATGAGAAAGCTTAACATCTTTTTAGGGAAGTAGATCTAGGATCAGACTAGAAAAATGCATCAAATCAGACTGATATTTTGGTTTTTGAATGCCACTGGACTTTATTCTTTCTGTTCTTTCAGATGTTAAAGAATTGTGAGCATGTTAAGTGATACAGTTAAGTGTAATGTTGAAGTAACAATTTTGGTGGAATGTGGGAAGAGAAATACTACTTGAGTAGCGTTAGGGAGGAAATGTATGAGGTGTGTAGTGCTGAAATACTATGGCATTGGCAGAAACAGAATATATTGAATGACATGAAAAACTTTGAAATAGATTTGACATATCCCTGATTGGCTACAGAGATGTACTATCCAGAATAGTAGCACTAAGCCACATAAAATTAAAAATGCTTTCCCTCAGTCACACTAGCCAGTGCTCAATAGTCATGGGAGTTGGAGGCTCCCGTGTTAGTGTGGATGTAGGACATTTGTGTTGTCACAGGGAGTTCTGCTAGCTGGTGCTGCTTCAGAAAGCTGCTTCAGCGAAATGATGATCCGTGATCCAGATCTTGCTTAACTTTTAATTTCTTTTATGTGAAATTGGAATACTTGTGAATTTACTTCTGTATATTTTTTCTATATTCCTTTTGAAGATAATTAGGAAAAAGGAAACTGGGTATTAGAGAAAAGAGAAGTAAATAATAGAGCAGGAATAGAGATTTTAAAGTCTTGGGAATGGGAAAGAAATCTAAAGCAAAGTAGTGTTGTTCCTTAGAACTGAACTCTGGCATCATTGGGGAAAAGGAAGCAGGCATATTTGTAGGAGGGACTTAGAGGCAGGTCAGAGAATTGGTCTGAGTTTTATTGTTTTCTTACTAAAATTAAGGTAAGGCTATAATATCTGTGTTGAAAGTTGAAAAATAGTCTTTCAGGTAGGAATTGGTTATGTAAAAATGACCAAATGTTTTATATCTCTGTTTTTGTTTCTCTATTCTCTGACCCTGGTTAATTTTTCTACTTTGTTGTGTCTTAAAGGCTTAGAATATTGTGGTATGTAAATTTAGGATGAGAGCAATACTTCCACATCTTAATAATCTTGCTTTGGGATGGGGGGCTATATAGTAGAGGAAAAATGTCTTTAGAAAGAATGTTACACGCAACAAATTTTTACATTTTAAAAAAGATTTCACAAACTCTGGGAAGGTAGAACCTGTAATCAATCTAGTGGCAAAAAAAACCCTCTGGAATCTGTTCTTCCTCTTCTTATCCCTATTCTAGAAATGGTACCATCATCTAACTTGTAACCTTAAGCTGAAAACGTCAAAGTAATTCTTCAGTTTTCTTTTTACTGTACTTCTTACATTCAATCCATTAGTAAATTTTACCTTCAAAATAAATTCCACATCCTCCCTCTTTTGTCATGTCTACTGCTACTACTACTACTCTGAAGCAAGCTGCTATCATTTCTTGCTTGGGCCACTTGTGTAGTGCTTTCTAACTGGTCTTCCAGCTTCCATTTTTGTTTCCCTACAGTCCTTTTTCAGTGTCCACAACAGTCTTTTAAGAGCTTAAATCAGAATATGTCCTTCCTCTAAAATTCTGCATTGAACTCTCATTACATACAGTAAAATCCAGGGTCCTTCTACAGCATCAAGGCCTTACACTCCAGTTTGTCTCATCTCATCTCCTAACATTTCTTCCCCTTTTTTGCTATACTCCATTCATAAAGCTCTTCCTTATGCTCCTAAACTCTCCATTCACATTCCATTCTAGTGTATTTATACTTTCCTTTACCTCCTGGAGTATTCTCTCAGATCTTCATACACTGGCTGTCTTCATTCTTGTCTTACAGTTTAGAGATGCCTTCCTTGACCACACAGTATAAAGTAGATCCGCTTGTCCCTGCTCTGTCTGTATTGGTTTATTTTCTGTAGGTCATTATTGTACTATAAACATTTACTGTATCTCCTACTGGAGTAGCAGTTTTGTCACAGCACATGGATGCCCAGTTGTTCACC